AAAATACTTATACTGTACTGGTTTGTATTTTCTCCCCAACGAACTGTGGTTTATATCCTGACGGGGGAGGGGGAAGCTTTTTCATGAGTTTTTACTGTACACAAGAACTTGCTATGTTTTCTTCAGTGCAAGTCAAATACATTGAAGCACAGAATAAGAGTTCAAGCCACGTGGAGTTGCACTGCAATCTTTATAGAAAGTTTACCATCATAATTGTTTTTGATGGAAGAAGCTTGCCATCCCAAATATCCAATCTTCTGTTGGGTGTGGGCTTGCTTTTAATTCAAGATTTATTTGTTGATCATACAGAAGTAAAAGAAAAACATTGTTCGAAACCCCCCTTTTTTCTACTATACATACAAAACATTAGGCCTACTGTCTAAAATCTGTTTCTAAAATAATAAATACCAATATAATGTGTAGACCTATCTGTAGACCTATCTGGCCATAAGTGTTGTCAACCTTCAATGTCTAAACATACCTGTTTCGCACTTGACGCATGACACAGAACAAGCATTGGTATGCAAGTGTACTTCATAGATATATCGCCATCAATAACACGAGTAAAATAATTTTTGCTGATTTTTAAAATTAATCTGTTTCCTTTTTTTCAACTTATATTTAAATTAAGATATTTCTGTGTTTTACGGTCATTATAATTGATTTAACATAATTCAATTCAAATTTCCAATTACTGTATTCGAAAATTCGGTAGCTACCGTACACCCAGCATATCTGTAGATCCGTGTATCAATACCAGCAACTAAATGACATCATCAACACTCAAAATAACGTCCACGTGTTCCGGATGCCGACTTGACTTTCGTTAATAGCTTTAGCAAGTACATGCCTCTATTTAAGACCACTTTCAGGACCAAAGTTTTTTATTTTTTTTTTATTTTAATGGTTTTAGCAACTTTGGTCCACAATTAGAAAAGTAATCATTATAGAGATAAAACAGATTGGTGCTCATCCGGGACCAGAGAAATGTCTTTAATTGGAGGGGTTTTAATTGCAGGGTGAACGGTATATTATTATGCATATCAGAACTGAAGATAATTGACAGCTTTGCTATACTCCGTCTTCTGTTTCAAGCCAGTTTTAAATTTAGAATAACGAACGTTGCCATTAATACTGTCAGTAACTTTGCATAAATCTCATATCATTATTCGATAGGATAGTTCTTCCATTTCTCATTACCATGTCAAACGCATCTAAGATGCCAATGATAGTGACCATTTGTTTCTGCTTATCTAATATTACCTTATATTATTAAAGTGGAAATTTTATCAATAACAGTGTTCCAAGGACAGATTTTTTTTAAATTTTTAGAACATTTAACATAAATATGAGAGTAGGGCTGCCGAGAGCAGATAAGAAAGTACAGTATAAACTGTCCATTCAGTAAATTATACAACTTTGTGTTAGGCCCAATAAAAATGATTATTAGTTTATCACCCTATCTGGGCTGTCGTTGTGGAATGATGTGAACATGTAGGCCTATCTACCAAGAAGCGCCTCTTTACGGCTGCTAGGTAGTCACGGACCACGCCCATACGCAATTCAGCACAATGACGCTGCAAGTTATGGGTTATTCTCCTACCTTTACATTTACCCTTTAGTAAAGTGATAAGGGAGGGAGGCTTTTTATTTTTTAATTTGCTAAAGCCAAATATCAACCTTGGGGTTGTTTGCTGGTGCATTGATATTCTAAGTAAAATAAATGATTAAGATAGGCCTAATACAAATATCTATTTTTTTTTAAAATTTTTTTTTTGGCTAAGATCATGTGTAATACGGTATCTGTTCTTTTCAGTTGAAACTGCATTTCCAACACCAATGTTTTAGCGTGCTGTTCTTTTATATTAATATGCATTAGTATTTGCGTTACGGCATCGTTTCTCGGCATCGCTTCTCGGCATTTTGGCTAAGATCATGTGTAATACCTGTTCTTTTCAGCTTAATATCTGAAATGCTTCTCATTGAGTAGCTTCGGACTTTTAAAAAATATATCTTTAAATAAACAGAATCGAAATAACTACCATTAACATCATAATATAGTTTACGTGTATATTGCTTAAAGCGATTGAGAGGGTTGTCTAGTGCTGTAAAAAACACTAAACTAACCCGCTAGTTCATAACTCACAAAATCTCTAGTGATGCTGCAAACTGCGAAATGCGATTGAGATTCAGGCAGTAATTATGTACCTGAAAATACCCTAAAATATAACTATCTTATCTTATTAAATTATTAAAGAAAGAAAACATAAAGATTCAATAAGACAAAAAATTGTGAGCAGGGCTCCATCGGGTGAGTTTTTTGCGATCTCTTGAACAAACCAAACGCTAGAAGACCGAATGGAGTTTTGGTGAGGAATCTGCAAAATTTCCCATTGTGCGCTTAGGTCTTCATTCCCTCAATATAGTGACTTGTATGACAAGCGAAGGTTACGTTTTGGCTTATACGGTGCAAGTAATTCTTGAAATAAGCAGAGCAATATCCATTTTAAAACATTTATTAACCGTTGTAACATCCTGAAACAATTTCCTGCGAAATAGAAAGCCAATAAGACCTTACAAAAATTATGAAATGGTAGTTCCTTCAAGAATCGAGTCGATTCGAATTATCTTTACCTGTCCTACGCACGTCTGCTACCTGAATTTTGCTAAGTGGTTAAAAATGTCAAAATATAACATGAATTATTTATTTTTAAAAAAATAAATCGTTAGAGGATGTTGAGGAATGGTAGAGGTATCAACTATCATCTGAAAACGTGTCCCTCCAACAAATTAAACAACTTTGGGTTAAGTCTTTAAATATTCTATTTCATTATGTTTTAGCATGTTATTTAAATACACGTCTTTTACGATAATCAGTAGTGAGCATTTCCAACACCAATATTATAGCATGCAGTTCTTTTATACTAATAGCATTGAAATTCGTGTTACAGTATCGCTTCTCGGCCTTTTGGCTAAGATCATGTCTACTATCTGTTCTTTTCAGCTTAATATCTGAAACGCTGCACATTGAGTAGCTTCGAATATTAAACTGATTTTTTAACTTAAGCTATGGAACATGAGCTTGCTCCGTCCTGGCCACGGGTTGACCTAGTATTGCAGTACAGTCAGGACCAGGCCACATCCTCTACAGAGGAAAATATGTCTTTAAAAAAAACAGAATCGAAATAACAACAATTAATATTTATATAGTTTACATGTATATTGCTCAAAGCGACTGGGATTAAGGGTAAGAATAGGTAACTGGAAAAAAACCCAAGAAATAAAAAAATAAAATATATTTACAGAATTGGTCATGATACAACTAATTGCATGCCATGTGCCTCGATAATTTCGTATGTGATTCGAGTCGATTCACATTTTAACCTTACATGTGTCCTACTCGCTCGCATCTGATACCTGAATTCACTGCCCAAGAAACATTTGAAAACTTCACATAAAATAATTATATGAAGTCGGGAGAGGGGTGGGGGATGTTGAGTAAAGGTAGAATTATATGTCGCTTTCCCTTCGGAATTATCAACTATCATCTGAAAATATATCCCTCCAATAAATTACACAATTTTGTGTTAGTCTTTAAAATATTCTATTACATAAGTTTTTTTAACACATTATTTAAATACACGTATTTTACGATAAGAATTAGGCCTAATGAGCATTTCCAACACCAATATTCTAGCGTGCTGTTCTTTTATATTAAAAGCATGGTTATTGGTGTTGCGGCATCGCTTCTCGGCCTTTTGGCTAAGATCATGTGAAATATCTGTTCTTTTCAGCTTAATATCTGAAACGCTGCTCATTGAGTAGCTTCGAATATTAAACTGATTTTTGAACTTAGGCTATGGAACAGGAGCTTGCTCCGTCCTGGCCACGGGTTGACCTGGTATTGCAGTACATTCAGGATCAGCCCATCCTCTACAGAGGAAAATATATCTTTAAAAAACAAAATCGAAATAGCAACCATTAACAACTAGGCCTCTATACTTTACGTATACACTCTCGTATACAGAGTAAAATATATCTTTAAAAAAATATATAGGCCTATCTTTTAAAAAAGCAGAATCAAAATAACAACCATTAACATCATAATATAGTTTACGTGTATATTGCTCAAAGCGATTGAGAGGGTAGTCCAGTGCTGTACATCTAGAAAACACTAAACCCGCTAGTTCATAACTCACAAAATCTCTAGATGCTGGAAACTGCGAAATGCGATTGAGATCCAGGCAGTAATTATATACCTGAAAATACCCTTAAATACAACTATCTTATCCTATTAAATCATTAAAGAAAGAGAACATAAAGATTCAATAAGACAAACAATTGTGAGCAGGGTTCCATCGGGTGAGTTTTTTGCGATCTCTTGAACAAACCAAACGCTGGAAGACCGAATGGAGTTTTGGTGCGGAATCTGCAAAATCTCCCATTGTGCGCTTAGGTCTTCATTCCCTCAATAGTGACTTGTATGACGAGCGAAGGTTACGTTTTGGCTTATACGGTGCAAGTATTTCTTGCAAATAAGCAGAGCAATATCAATTTTAAAACATTTATTAACCGTTGTAAAATCCTGAAACAATTTCCTGCGAAATATAAAGCCAATAAGACCTTACAAAAATTGTGAAATGGTAGTTCCTTCAAGAATCGAGTCGATTCGAATTATCTTTACCTGTCCTACGCACGTCTGCTACATGAATTTTTCTAAGTGGTTATGTCAAAATATAACATGAATTATTTATTTAAAAAAAAAATCGTTAGAGGATGTTGAAGAATGGTAGAGGTATCAACTATCATCTGAAAACATGTCCCTCCAACAAATTACACAACTTTGGGTTAAGTCTTTAAATATTCTATTTCATTATGTTTTAGCATGTTATTTAAATACACGTCTGTTACAATAATAAGTAGTGAGCATTTCCAACTCCAATATTATAGCATGCAGTTCTTTTATATTAATGGCATTGAAATTCGTATTACGGCATCGCTTCTCGGCCTTTTGGCTAAGATCATGTGTAATATCTGTTCTTTTCAGCTTAATATCTGAAACGCTGCTCATTGAGTAGCTTCGAGTATTAAACTGAACTTGGGTTATGGAACACGAGCTTGCTCCGTCCTGGCCACGGGTTGACCTGGTATTGCAGTACATTCAGGAGCAGCCCACATCCTCTACAGAGGAAAATATGTCTTTAAAAAAACAGAATCGAAATAACCACAATTAATATCTATATAGTTTACAATTGCTCAAAGCTACTGGGATTAAGGGTAGTAATAGGTAACTGGAAAAATACCCAAGAAATAAATAAATAAAATATATTTACAGAATTGGTGATACAACTAATTGCAGGCCATGTGCCTCGATAATTTCGTACGAGATTCGAGTCGATTCACATTTTAACCTTACATTGTGTCCTACTCGCATCTGATACCTGAATTCACTGCCCAAGAAACATTTGAAAACTACACATAAAATAATTATATGAAGTCGGCGGGGGGGGGGGGATGTTGAGCCCTTCGGAATTATCAACTATCATCTGAAAATATGTCCCTCCAATAAATTACACAACTTTGTGTCAGTCTTTAAAATATTCTATTATATAAGTTTTTTTTTATCATATTATTTAAATACACGTATTTTACGATAAGAATTAGGCCTAATGAGCATTTCCAACACCAATATTCTAGCGTGCTGTTCTTTTATATTAAAAGCATGGTTATTGGTGTTGCAGCATCGCTTCTCGGCCTTTTGGCTAAGATCATGTGTAATATCTGTTCTTTTCAGCTTAATATCTGAAACGCTGCTCATTGAGTAGCTTTGAATATTAAACTGATTTTTGAACTCAGGCTATGAAATAGGAGCTTGCTCCGTCCTGGCAACGGGTTTACCTGGTATTGCAGTACATTCAGGATCAGCCCATCCTCTACATAGGAAAATATATCTTTAAAAAACAGAATCGAAATAGCAACCACTAACATCTTGGCCTACATACCGTACTTTACGTATACACTCTCGTATACAGAGTGAAATATGTCTTTAAAAAATATATAGGCCTATCTTTTAAAAAAGCAGAATCAAAATAACAACCATTAACATCATAATATAGTTTACGTGTATATTGCTCAAAGCGATTGAGAGGGTAGTCCAGTGCTGTACATCTAGAAAACACTAAACCCGCTAGTTCATAACTCACAAAATCTCTTGTGATGCTGGAAACTGCGAAATGCGATTGAGATTCAGGCAGTAATTATGTACCTGAAAATACCCTAAAATATAGCTATCTTATCCTATTAAATCAATAAAGAAAGAAAGCATAAAGATTCAATAAGACAAACAATTGTGAGCAGGGCTCCATCGGGTGAGTTTTCTTCGATCTCTTGAACAAACCAAACGCTGGAAGACCGAATGGAGTTTTGGTGCGGAATCTGCAAAATCTCCCATTGTGCGCTTAGGTCTTCATTCCCTCAATACGGTGACTTGTATGACGAGCGAAGGTTTCGTTTTGGCTTATACGGTGCAAGTAACAATATCCATTTTAAAACATTTATTAACCGTTGTAAAATCCTGAAACAATTTTCTGCGAAATAGAAAGCCAATAAGACCTTACAAAAATTGTGAAATGGCAGTTCCTTCAAGAATCGAGTCGATTCGAATTATCTTAACCTGTCCTACGCACGTCTGCTACCTGAATTTTGCTAAGTGGTTATGTCAAAATATAACATGGATTACCTTTTCGAATTTTCTGAATATTTTACTGTATTGTTATGATAAAAAAAAAAAAGCGAAATAAATGAATTGAAATGAACATGAATTATTTATTTTAAAAAAATCGTTAGAGGATGTTGAAAAAAGGTAGAGGTATCAACTATCATCTGAAAACGTGTCCCTCCAACAAATTACACAACTTTGGGTTAAGTCTTTAAATATTCTATTTCATTATGTTTTAGCATGTTATTTAAATACACGTCTTTTACGATAATAAGTAGTGAGCATTTCCAACACCAATATTATAGCATGCGGTTCTTTTATATTAAAAGCATGGTTATTGGTGTTGCGGCATCGCTTCTCGGCCTTTTGGCAAAGATTATGTGTAATATCTGTTCTTTTCAGCTTAATATCTGAAACGCTACTCATTGAGTAGCTTCGAATATTAAACTGATTTTTTTTAACTTAAGCTATGGAACAGGAGCTTGCTCCGTCCTAACCACGGGTTGACCTGGTATTGCAGTACATTCAGGACCAGCCCATCCTCTACAGAGGAAAATATGTCTTTAAAAAAAACAGAATCGAAATAACAACAATTGATATCTATATAGTTTACATGTATATTGCTCAAAGCGACTGGGATTAAGGGTAGTAATAGGTAACTGGAAAAAACCCAAGAAATGGGATTAAGGGTAGTAATAGGTAACTGGAAAAAAACCCAAGAAATAAATAAATAAAATATATTTACAGAATTGGTGATACAACTAATTGCAGGCCATGTGCCTCGATAATTTCGTACGAGATTCGAGTCGATTCACATTTTAACCTTACATTGTGTCCTACTCGCATCTGATACCTGAATTCACTGCCCAAGAAACATTTGAAAACTACACATAAAATAATTATATGAAGTCGGGGGTGGGGGATGTTGAGTAAAGGTAGAATTATATGTCGCTTTCCCTTCGGGATTCTCAACTATCATCTGAAAATATGTCCCTCCAATAAATTACACAACTTTGTGTTAGTCTTTAAAATATTCTATTACATAAATTTTTTTAAACATATTATTTAAATACACGTTACGATAAGAATTAGGCCTAATGAGCATTTCCAACACCAATATTCTAGCGTGCTGTTCTTTTATATTAAAAGCATGGTTATTGGTGTTGCGGCATCGCTTCTCGGCCTTTTGGCTAAGATCATGTGTAATATCTGTTCTTTTCAGCTTAATATCTGAAACGCTGTTCATTGAGTAGCTTTGACTATTAAACTGATTTTTGAACTCAGGCTATGGAATAGGAGCTTGCTCCGTCCTGGCCACGGGTTGACCTGGTATTGCAGTACATTCAGGATCAGCCCATCCTCTACAGAGGAAAATATGTCTTTAAAAAACAGAATCGAAATAGCAACCATTTAACATCTAGGCCTCTATACTTTACGTATACACTCTCGTATACAGAGTGAAATATGTCTTTAAAAAATATATAGGCCTATCTTTTAAAAAAGCAGAATCAAAATAGCAACCATTAACATCATAATATAGTTTACGTGTATATTGCTCAAAGCGATTGAGAGGGTAGTCCAGTGCTGTACATCTAGAAAACACTAAACCCGCTAGTTCATAACTCACAAAATCTCTAGATACTGGAAACTGTGGTTGAGATTCGGGCAGTTATTATTTACCTGAAAATACAACTATCTTACCCTATTATATCATTAAAGAAAGAAAACATAAAGATTCAATAAGACAAACAATTGTGAGCAGGGTTCCATCGGGTGAGTTTTTTGCGATCTCTTGGAACAAACCAAACGCTAGAAGACCGAATGAGTTTTGGTGCGGATCTGCAAAATCTCCCATTGCGCGCTTAAGTCTTCATTCCCTCAATAGTGACTTGTATGCCAAGCGAGGGTTACGTTTTGTCTTATACGGTGCAAGTATTTCTTGCAAATAAGCAGAGCAATATCCATTTTAAAACATTTATTAACCGTTGTAAAATCCTGAAGCAATTTTCTGCGAAATAGAAAGCTAATAACACCTTACAAAACTTATGAAATGGTAGTTCCTTTAAGAATCCAGTCGATTCGAATTATCTTTACCTGTCCTACGCACGTCTGCTACCTGAATTTTGCTAAGTGGTTAAAAATGTCAAAATATAACATGAATTATTTATTTTTAAAAAAAAATCGTTAGAGGATGTTGAGGAAAGGTAGAGGTATCAACTATCATCTGAAAACGTGTCCCTCCAACAAATTACACAACTTTGGGTTAAGTCTTTAAATATTCTATTTCATTATGTTTTAGCATGTTATTTAAATACACGTCTTTTACGATAATAAGTAG